TAATAACAACTCCATTGAAATTTTCCCAAAGCCCTAAAAAGGCAAAGCTCTTGAGAGCAATGAGTAAATAATTCCTTTGTTTTAGAATTTTTGATCTTGAAGAATGAGTTTGAAGAAAATGGACTCCACTCATCAGAAATTATTTTGGTGACAACTTCGATTAATAACTCAAAATTGTTTAATTAACAACCTGACTACTAGGCAGAGCTGGAATATTTTCTGGTGGTTGGCTGATATCTCAGCATGAAATGGCTCTTACAAAGCCAACAGCTTGTAATCACATCAACGAAACACAAAGAAACATCAGACAAGCATGTCTAATGTTTATTCTGTTTATTTGATGTTAGGGTTGGAATAAAAGAAAAAAAGGGGGATTAAATTTTATGTGACAGTAGAAGAGACTAATCCACCTCAAAAACACTGCCAAAATACAGCCTTAAAAATTGAAGGAATTAAAATGTATGGTGTTTCAGATTCTGTAATTTGAGGATTGGAATTATACTGGATAATTTAGGATGGCCATCAGCCTCCCTCCCTTATATTTCTCACTCAGTTGAATACCAAATTTTGTCTTTTCTACCACGCTTCTGGTCGTTCCTCAATTTCATTCACGAAATCCCCACATTTAAGATTGCAGCTTGGACTGCACATCTCCCAGTTTTTCTCAGAGTGCCTTGGCAGATAGGAGTGTCTTTTGAAGCGCGGATGGCAGCTTATCTCATTGAGAGCATGGAACAAGCCCCTCGCAGTCCCTGGTGTTAAAGGGCTCTGCTTATCAGGAACGAGTGGCAGAGTGCTCTGGCTCAGCTCTCAGTGCATTGCACCCAGGGACACCACTTAATGTGACACTGTCAAACACCTCCCAGAGCGCTGAGGGCAGATTTCTCAATCAAGGAGTGTCCTTATGTGAAAACAGCCCCTTCTTCCTATGCGTGGGATGCAAAGGTTGGTGGCTACCACCGTTGGGTCAGTGTATCTGTGTGATACATCCGCTTCTCTATCCAACAAACAAGGGGGATAAGGAGGATGTGGGAGTGCTGGGGTTTCCCTCCTTACCTGTGGTCATGGTCAGGATGCTATTGGTGTGATTTATCTTTTGTTTGTTGCTGTACCTCTTTTCTGAAACAGGAAGGATTCAATTCAAACGGTGTCAACCTTTGCTACTTGTATTTCTATTATGATTTGAAATCTGATTAATGAACCCTCTGCAACTGTAATGCTTTATAAGAGAAAGGAATACGCATACATATATTAAAGAGATTTAATAACTAATATTATGAGATAGGAATTCATTTTATTTTATTTTTGTGTTGTGGTTTGCACCCCATTATTGTTTTCAATAGCTCAGTCAGATCAAGGTCTCACTTACTAACAACCTGGACTCCCACTGAAATACGGACAAAAAAGCGTAAGAATTGAGATTGCTGTAACAATTTGCCATCTAGTGGTCAACAAAAATCACATTCAGCTCTTACCTCAAGAAGAAAGCAAGAAGAAAACTCCTGGTATTCAATAATAATTCAGTTAACATGCCTGTTAGTTAGCATTACAATGGACCATCAAGATTGGGCTACATGCCTTGGAGTATCTGTTGTGGCCCATTGGCCAAGATATTTCCTTAAACAAAATGGAAAACCTTGGAAAATCAAACTCACGTCCTCTTTGGCCAATAATTTAAGATCTGAGTCCATAAAATTAGGACCTTGATTCTGAGCACATACATTCCCTTTAGTGAGATAACTCCTCTTTTATTCTTGCATATGGATGTTGCCATGTTGCTCTGTTGAAGCTTTTTTCCCCACTACTGTGCATCATTAGTACTAAAAGAGTGTGAAGACTCAGGAAAATGAGGGCAATTAGATTCACATCCTTCGCTTGCTGGCCCAGACAGCACAGTTCTTGTTTCAAGTAATGGGCTTAATTCTTCAGCCTATATGACTTCAAGAGAATTCAGTCCTATAAAGCGAAATTTGATGGTGATAGCTATTCCTCTTTGTTGCTTGATACAAAATGGAAGGTATTTTCTCATATAAAATCATAGAGTCCAACATCATAAACATCATTGAGTCCAACTCCTATAATTGACAATATCTACAGGAGAATCTGTCAATGCTCATTTTAGCAGTCTCTTTCATTTCATTGGTATTACTCACAGGAGTAGGAGTTTCTGGGTTAATCTCTGATTTTAAAATGGCCACAAATTGACCTTGAGAAGTCTTGTGTACTACTTACGGCATGGAAGTTCTCTATTAAATGAGTTCAGTGTTAAAAGAACCATAACGTGCAGCACAGGTGACCAGATAAACTGGTGTCCTTGGCAATGAGGAACCAGAGATGCTTCCTGCCCACTGATATAAAGGATCAAGAAAGGTTAATTGCAGCAGACATGGGGGTGTGACTGGAATGTGTGCTAATTCTGCCATCCCCAAATGCTTCACGTATTCTAGCTGCCTGTCAGTGTGTATCCAATGATACCACTGCTCAGATTCCAGGCATGCCTTTGAAAACTTTTTCGGCTTTTAAAAAGCTGGAAGCGAATAATCAGGATTATTAGATATTTCAACCTAGGATAAATGCTGTTTTAACACATAAATGCTGACAATGTGCATGCACATGCAGACGCACACTCGCCCAGGCATACTCCCAATGCATTTACTTCTACATATATTCTACACCTTTTATAGGAAGAGACTAGATGTAAAGCTCTTGGATAGATTTGATAACTTTTGAGATGGTAAGAGTCACATCGCAATAGTCTTCTCTAGACTCATTGCACCATACTCTTCTTTTTTAGTCTCCTTCTACCAATATTAGCATCTAAGGTTGTGCACTGTCTACTTTCCTCATTTTCATGGTAGATCTGGGTTCCAGTCCTGGTCGGATCACCAGAGCCCTTTACATATTCTCACACAGATATGCCAAACACTTGTGCTGTTTTCCAGGCGTTTATCTTATGCTTAAGGCTAGTCAGCCTCATGCACAATCAAATCTGCACATTAACCTTTGGCACTAGCACTCTCCTTTGTTGACTGTGAACGTAACTTTCCCATTGTTTCCGAGGGTGGTTGCTGGCTGCTCTCCACTTAGGAACTTCAGTGGGTTCTGTGCTCTATGGGTTCCTTTCATGGAAAGCAGTGGGAATTTTCCATCCATTCCAAACAAACGTCTTAGAATTCACAATATAAAAAAATCCTTTCAATAGACGACCCATATCTAACAAACTGTGATAGCAGATGCTGCATAATATTTAGAACACGTGCTTAAATTAAGTGCATAGTAAAAAGAAAGTTTTAATTTTCCATCAGATTATACATTCACTTCAGAACTTTGCTGTCAAGCTGTGGGTTTAAAGGTCAAAAACAGTTTCAGACTAAGGTTGTTTAAGGCAACCAATGGACCATATATATCTCAGGGATACTTCATCTCTTGTTGCTTTTACTTATTAGTCTTCTGCTGTACTCCAGCAACAACACCCATCATCCTGTAAAACTGTGAAGACAGATTAATTGTAGTATAAAATGGGTACACAGAACATATGGCAAATGGTGGCACAGTCAGCAGGAAACAGCACGGGCCAACTACAGTATCGAAAAGATATAATATCAACATCTTTTTCTCATGCATCTGTCCTTTTTTTTGCTTTCGTTCAGAAGTGGGTGTACATTTCTGTTTGTCCTGTGGTTACGGTTACCAAACTCTGAATTAATTTCCTCTGCTCTGCAGCCATTTCTTGTATGATCTTTGAAATCGATGATATTTTAGTGGTGCCAATAGGATTACATTCAAGGTCTAAATTGCACAGGATAGATTGCCCTTCACTTTCTCATCAGTAATATAAAGGCAGCAATTCATCCTTTATTTTGCCCATTTAGAAAAGTGTTCAGCATCTGTAATCAACTACACAAGAGAAGAATAGGACTTCCCAGAGCATTGCTCTGATTCTTTGGCCCTGCATCTCTTACGACTTTGTATAACTTTGTTGTTGTAACCAGACCTCATTTATGTGTCTGAGAACATCCTCCTTTAATCAATACAAGTGTAGTACACAGAGGGTTGCTTTAATGCCACTAATTTTAGTTATACTATTAGCAACAGGAGCAGTGTCAAAGGAGCATCACTACACTGCACAAAATGTTCAGTCATCAGTACTGCAGTTAGACAGAAAACCAAACTGCACTGACTAATTCTTTTTTAACAACTTAATGATAGAATTGTTTGTAATTTAGCATTTACATATATTATTTATAGAATATAATGATAGAATAATAAGATTTGCCTCTACGAATGCTCTATCAGTTTGTTCCTTTGGGATCTACATCAGTCTCAGGTGTAGTTGATGCCAGGTCACCATCCGTAGAGAAATAATGCAAAGTTATACACAGCATGAGATAATTAAAGCAATTATTTTCTACATTTGCAGAGCTCATCTGACTCAGAGGGGTTTGTGATGACTTTCGTGCCCTGTAACAGAAGAATAATACACAAGGAAGGGGTTGAAATGTGGTGGTTGTCACATGGAAAGAAGATTATGGCTTCCAATTTAGTTTTTTAAGGCCTTTGTTTTTAAAGAATATTTTCTCAGAAACTTGCAACACCGAGAAAAGTTTTGAAGGTCAAGACCCATATGAACACTCTTGATAAGCAGTGCTATCAAAGAGTGCTTTGAAGCTTTTGTGCCTCCTGTGCATCAGCCAAGAACATCACAAATATTTACTCCCTCCCTTTTTCTATCCATTCATTTTCTTGTTTCCTCAGTCCCTCTCTCCTTCCCACTAGCAAACATATATGAGTCAGTCCCTGAAGACCATGGGTGCTGGTGTCAATGGAAAGATCTTCAATGGAAAACCCATTCTTTTTCTCCATTAGCATGACCCACTGCCTATGTCATGTCACAGCCTAAGTGTACAAATGCACCAAAGCAAAACACATCTTTTCTGGAGGAAAATCTCTAGGAAGTCCTAGTTCTGTTCCACTTTCAAATGAAGAAAGAAGACAAAGCATTTGAATTACTACATTATCTTTATTTGTAGAGCATATGTTTGTTGCTTTCAAAGCTCAGGACAGGTAAATTGATTTTGTTTTCTTCCATTTTAAGAACATGTGTACCATCAGAGAAGCACATAGAGAAATGAGCCACTTCCAAGCAGAAGGACTGTCCAGATCAGTAGTTCTCTCTGAGTTTCTCACAGATGTTAAAGCCCAAAATGGATGGAATTCCTGCACTGGCACAGCCGTTGGAATTAGTCAGTGCTAAAACAAAAACAAAAAAATGAAAATATTTTCAGTGACGAGATTCCTGTGTCCACCAAGGAAGAGTCTGTTAAACACATAAACACAATCCCTAGTCATTGTTCAAGTCTCAGTGAATACTATAGAAAATTTTTATGGTGTAACACAAAGAAAGGAATTTAAGCCATTTTTATGGCTTTAAATCATCTTTCGGCTCCTCATTTCCAGTCACAGTATTCAGCAGGTATCACTGTGGGACCACCATACATACCATTGGATACAACTGAGTCCTCTGTGACACTAGACAAACCACTTTGGAACAGCTGTACTAGATATTCAGATGCCAAATGATGGCAAAACATGCTTTAATAGATTTTCCAAAGCATCCTGGAGCCTTACTCTTTCAATTTTGCCAGGCAGTTTACTCCCCCTCTCCAAAATGGGACAATATGTCCCTGCCTCTCAAAGTTGCCATATGAGCTTAGTTTTAAAGGAAAAAAATGTTTTCTTTTTCCTACTTACGTTCACTCCTTGTAAGCTTGTAGAGAGGTAGACCCTTGCAGAGTTGCTCAATGGGTTTACCATAGCGAAGCCACTCTCTGATGCTCCCAAACATGGCATCACCGGGTTGAAACTGTACCCACATAACTCGTGGAGAATAAATTTTCCTCATAGTCTAAGGAGAAAATAGTAGATGTCATTAGTAGCCTAACTTTGGTTTCACGTGTCTGAGGTACCCTTTGAGAAAAATCCCTAAATCTAATATCTTTGTCTCATACAAAGCTTTAGCTAAGGAATACATTTTTAAAATATTTTTTCCAACCTGTTCAGAAACAAATTTCACTAGATACTATTTCTATCAATACAGGTAAGCTGAGTTGTATTGATACTTAATAAATTGTTAATTGACTGCATAGTCAAGCAGTTTCCAAATACATTAATCCTCCCAGTCCATAAGGGTGCCATAAGAAGTGCAATAGCAAATGTGCTACTGTTGGACTGTCGTAAGTTGTGCCAGAAAAATCACAGTTCAGTCAAAGTAAATTGATTTCTGAATTCTGTTCTGCAAATGAAACTATTTCAAATGATGTCAAACCCAAAATATTGACATGTTCTGTGTGATATTTCCTTGAAGTTCTATTTTGTCAGATCTGTTCCATCATGGCTAACCACTAGTAGGCATTCCTAAGAACAGCAGGTCTTCTTAGAGCCGTGTAGCTTGCACACAGTAGACTTTTTTTTTGTATACAGAATGAATTTTTCTACAAAATTACCTGTCTCTCAAAAGCCTGGCGTCCAAGCTCTTGCAGCTCAGGGATGGAAGCTCTATCAATTTTCATGATGAAACAAGCATGTCGTGCAAACAGCCTTGTTGCAATGTATCCCTGTGATAAAAAATAAAATAAAATAAAATAAAATAAAATAAAATAAAATAAAATAAAATAAAATAAAA